CAGTGAATTAGATCCCTCTGGATTTGGTACAATAATTACTTTCTTTTTCATTTTCCTTTTGCAGAACCTGTAAAATCATGATTGTACACAGGATTTATTAGAATCCATTCATGAAGCCAACTTACAGGCAGATTAAGAGGGGAATAGTCAACATTACTATAGCTATTATGGTGTTTATTACTATGATAGCTATAAATCTTATAAAATATGCTGGAGGTATAATAATAGTGGGAGTGACGGTCGTTGTCGGGATAACTGATGTTTCAGTTTCCATTGTGTAATAAGAACTACCTATATACAAATAATGGAACAATTATAATTATTAGTCATGGAAACTCTTCTTAGCTCACTTTCCTCAATAGTTAGTTTGTCTCCTGATCCTAATCCTGATCCTGAATATAAATTATTGTTACTTTGACCAAGGTTTAGCAGTATAGATAGTACAAGCAGTAGCTCCCTTAAATTTTTCATGATATAAGTAGGTGGAGAGTACTGCATATGAGCTAGTTTTATCAGTGCACACTCAAGAGGAAACAATAGTTATGATGCTAATTCTTAAGCAGAATGAATGATAGAACTGAGCAACAGTGGCATGTATGCAGATGTATTTTCTCACAATACCGTATTTCAAAATTAACATGTACAGAATATAAATGATTTACAAAAAATATGGAAAAATGTAAATATTAAACATCATAACCAGTCCACTAGCTCATCAGTATGATCATAGCTTTGCAGGGAAAGTGCATCATTTAATCTAATGTTTTCCAATGACCATTTTTATTATGACCATTAATTGGTTCATTTGTATGTGTACCACGATACAGGCGACTCTTTAATCTCTTCTCATATACAGTATTCCTGTATAACATTGTTACTGGACTGTTTACTGCCATCATGAGGCCAATGTTTTCTATATTATTCATGATACTTATACTCCCAAGAATGGACCTGATACTCTATGTTAAAGGATTTGAGAGATTCGATTCAAGTCAGCAGCATAGCCTTTCAACAGCACCATTATAGTTACCGTATAGTGCTTTAATTTTGCGGAGCTTAAATTTCGCGGATTGATAAAAATCAATTTTTTGCGGAAATAACTTTTGCCATAGATAATGATTCACAATCATTATCTAATAATGATTGTGAAAATAATAATGATTTAATAATAAATAATAATTAATAATGATTGATTCACAATGTTAGTGCCACACCTTTAATGGTAATTGAAATTTTAGCGGATCTTTAATTTCTCGGTTTCATGCTAACCGAAAAATAGCGAAAATTTAGCTCCTCGAAAATAAAGCGCTATACGGTATTACCACATGCACGACACTTATTGATTTGTGTTTCTATTATTTAGTTCACTCCATCTTTAAGAATTTCATGACAGTGGAGGCCTTGCTGCACAATCCAATAGTTCACACTTTTGTGAATATGTTGAGTGATGATGTCCCTAACTTGCACAGCAAAGGAACTAATTCTGGTATGTACTATATGTATCATTGTATTACTGATTGCTAACATTGTTTCTATAGAGCTTGGTCATCATAAAACCTCATCTCCTCACAGGGTTTCTCGTAAAGCATACAATCGTTGGTTTGTTGCATACACACTGATCAAGAACCCTTCACTGAGGAAGAACTATGTCTCTGAGGTTAATGTCTACGAAGAATTTGAGATTACAAAGGAACGATTACAATGGAAGAATTTGATTAGCATAGATTTCTAGTAGCTTAAATTAATCATCAATTTTATTAATTGGAATCATTGCATGCATATTATGAATGATTTTGTTTGGATGGGTTAGGCTGGACTTGGATCATCATGTCTACCGCTAATTCCACTTCCATCGTTCCTACGGACAATCCTGCTCTTTCTGGAACTCTCCTTACTTATAAGTCAGTATCTAGTGTCTGTTATTCCTGTTCACTTCAGATCTAATACCATTCCTTTGTTTAGCTCTGTCGTTTTGTCTTCATTTGTATTGTTTGTAATCTCGGTGAGTTATGCAGCTGTAGCTTCATTTAAAGTAGTCTAGCAATAGTAAACAGCCACACACCATGCAGGCCCTCACGATCACTCACTCAAAGGGTTTGCAAGCTGCTATAATACCAGTGTGATGATGGGAGGGGTGGTTTTGGGATTTTTAAAATTCAAAGAGACAGGCCCTCATCACTATCATAATTATAATTGCTTAGATCTACAGGTAGTTTTGTCTCTTTCTACTTGATTAGGCTGTAGTTTGGGTCATACTTAGTTTCCTGCAAAAGAGGACCAAGAAGTTTCTGGGTTGCTGTGGAGGGCGGCCAGGAATTGTTTTGTGAGTCAGGAATAATGATATTCATCAGTTCCCAATAAGACTATATTAATTTGTTCCTGATATTACAATATTGACAAATCTACTGTATAGTCATAGTCTTTTCCTCTGTATGTATAAAGAGTAACCGTGTAATCTTCTGATTATCAATTATCAATAGCCTTCACTTGGCTAGTTCATGTAATTTTTTTCCTTCTTTCCAGTCCCATAAACTTCCTTAATCCTCGGCACAGGCTTGTGTATGTATTAGCTTGTGGTGCATTAGCCTCGACTTGGTTCCGTGCTTTAAACACTGGAGACTTCTCTGATGTCAATAAGTGGGCTGTCAGCATCGTTAAGAGTTAGTCAATAAATTACTGTTGTCATCATAGTTTGTATACTGTAGTTCTTTCTGTTATATTTTTATTGTCTTGGGAAATATTTATAACATTCCCACTCCTGGCCTGTGTTGAGGCACCTGTTCCTATTGTTGGATATATCTTAGGTGCAATCTATACTGATGTACTGTGAGTTTTTATTGCATTTATAATTATTATGAAATGCTATTTATGGATTATTTTTAGATTGGCATTGAGGATTTATGTGACTGTGGATGTCATACAGCAGCAAGATGTTGATGGCTTTCCAGAGGACTTTGTGACTTTGCTGGTCAGTTTATTTATAGTTAAACAATGTTATTTTTTGCTGCATTAGCTATAGCAAGTTTGGCTATAGTTTATAGTTCTTCTTCTCTTGTTTGTTTTAGTATAGCAAATACGTCGTCTCATTTCTGCCTCAGCTGGTTTGCATTGTTGGTGTCCTGGTGTGGTATCATTACAAAATCATTAAAGAGATTGTGAGAATATTTAGAACTGATGGAACTTGGACACATGCTGTGAGTAGAAACAGTGTTTTATTATGACTCTTGATTGTGGTAGCCACAGTCGACCACTATTTGTTAACAGAATATAATATGAATGTATTGCCCCATATTTTTATTCATTTACTGATGCAAATTGATGTCCTAGAAAGTCTGGGCTGTTTCCAACAAATAGTTGTGGCCATTTTAAAAAATTGGCCAAATTTTGAAAAAAGCAAAGGCTATAGCCCATGGTTTTTCTTTAAAATGGCTCCAAAACCACCCCAAATTTTTATAACATTTTCTGATGCATGTTGATGTCCTTATACTATGTAGAAAGTTTGAGCTGATTCCGAGGGATATTTTTTGAGTTATGGCTATTTTTAAAAAATTGGCCAAATTTTGAAAAAAAAACAAAGGCTATAATAGCCCATGCTTTTTCCAAAAAATGGTTCCAAAACCACCCCAAATTTTTATTACATTTTCTGATGCATGTTGATGTCCTTATACTATGTAGAAAGTTTGAGCTGATTCCGAGAGTTATTTTTCGAATTATGGCCATTTAAAAAATGGCCAAATTTTGAAAAAAAGCAAAGGCTATAGCCCATGGTTTTTCTAAAAAAATGGCTCCAAAACCACCCCAAATTTTTATTACATTTTTTGATGCATGTTGATGTCCTTATACTATGTAGAAAGTTTGAGCTGATTCCGAGAGTTATTTTTCGAGTTATGGCCATTTTAAAAAATGGCCAAATTTTGAGAAAAAAAGCAAAGGCAGCCCATGGTTTTTCTAAAAAATGACTCCAAAACCACCCCAAATTTTTATTACATTTTCTGATGCATGTTGATGTCCTTATGCTATGTAGAAAGTTTGAGCTGATTCCGAGAGATATTTTTCAAGTTATGGCCATTTTTAAAAAATGGCCAAATTTTGAAAAAAAGCAAAGGCTATAGCCCATGGTTTTTCTAAAAAATGACTCCAAAACCACCCCAAATTTTTATTACATTTTCTGATGCATGTTGATATCCTTATACTATGTAGAAAGTCTGAGCTGATTCCGAGAGATATTTTTTGAGTTATAGCCATTTTTAAAAATTAACCAAATTTTGAAAAAAAGCTAATGTTTTTCCTAAAAAATGGTTCAAAAACCACCCCAAATTTTTATTATGCTATGTTTGTGGAGATTAACAAGATGCCTAAATTGATTTCTACATGTATTTCAGATTACAAATCAACCAGAGTCTCAGGCTCAAATCAAATATGTCAAGCAGCTATTGCATCAAAGGTATGTATATATTTTAACGTAACAATTGTTATTGTTATACTTTCTTTAGTAATCTTACTTTTTTCAGGAAACACATTTATACAAGTAACAATAGTAATGATTATTATTTTTTATTATCATTAAGTATTTAGGAGTGAGGATACCATTCTCATTATTGATAGTCTGTGTTGTTGATGCTGTAATCATCTTTCAGGTAGAGAATTAAAAGCTAATATACACTTATGTTTACTTTTACTTTCAAGCTTGTTGTTTTGGTTCTATTTCAAATACCATACTGGTTTAATCTTGCTGGGAGTGAAGCTGAAGCACTTAATCAGAATTTAGGTTTAGGAGAGTACAGCTTTTTAAAAGCAATCCCACATTTCTTTGACAGTTTAACTACGATAACTGTCATTGCACCGATTGTAGCTGCTCTTATTGTTGTGGCTCATTTCCTCCATCTCTTATATTCAGTCCAGTACGAATCCTCTTTTCCCTATTGTCTGGTTGCTTTAATCTTTTTTCCTACAGAGTGCAATTAAAAGAGTTTAGAACTGGACAGAAAAAAGTTTTGAAATCACAGATTGATTGGCCAGCAATGACACTGGTGAGCCATGCAAATGTTAATTATTATAAAATAAATGTATCTACACTGTATAGTCTTCTTCTCTTCGATATGCTGGCTATCAA